TATCTACTGTGCCACCTAGCTGCCCCAACCCTTTCCTTTTCCAGGCTAAACATAGGATCATGGATTTGGAGAAAGAAAGAACCTGAGCAGTTAGCAGTCCAATCCCCTCATTTTGCAGATAAGGAATCAGAGCTACAATGAGATTAAGTGATTTATCCAAGATCATACAGGTACTACATACAAGCAGACTGATATTTGAACCTAGGTCCCCTGCCTTCAAATCCAATGTTCTTCCCATCACTGCACAGATGCTTAGGTCCTTCAATTAATCCATTTATATGTAAGCTCAAGGCTCCCCACCATCTTTGTGGATACTCTCTAGCTTTAGGTAAATGCTATTTGGAACCTGAGGCCACATGAACTTGTCAGGAAAATGTGGTTCTTAACCAGGGGCTGGTGATCTTATTAGGAAAATGTTGATGACTAAGGTTTCTTAACTTGGGTTCAGTGAACTTGTTAGGAAAATGTTGATGTCCGGAGGTCTTTAATCTGGGGTTGGTGATCTTGTTAGGAAAATGTTGGTGACCAAGAATCCTTAATCTGGGGCAGGTGAAGTTATAGGGGAAATGTTGGTGTCCAGGGGTTCTTAACCAGGGACTAATTGAACTTGTAGGGAAAATGTTCATGTCCAAGGGTCCTTAACCTGGGGCTAGTGGACTTATTTTAATATTTTGACAACAGTTTCATTAAAATTAGTTTTCTTTAAAATTCTGTGTACTGTTTATGCATTTAAAATGTGATTCAGAAACAGGGTCCATAAGGTTCACCAGAGTGCCAAAAGGGACCAGGATACATAAAAGGTTAAACACCCTTGATCTCCACTATCTCTACACTTGCCCATTTTTGCTGGGTGTACATTATCTAGTCCTTAAACCACTGAACTTACTGCCAGCAATAAAGCTTGAGGTTAGCTAATTGCCAAGGATATGTTTCATTTCCCCATTCAGAATCATAGACAGTTTTGAGTGAAACTGATCACCATAAATCAGGGTAAAATAGCTTTTGGAGGCATAGACCATCTGGCTTGTATAAAACCATGTGCACACACATACACCCATCCACACACACACACACACACACACACACACACACACACACACACACACACACACACAAGCCTTCCTTTTGATGGATGGCTTAGTCGTTCCCCGTGGAGCAGTTTGGTGACGTGGAAGTGACGGCTTAACTTGGAGAACTTGGTGTCAAACTCTTCATAGTGGGGTGACCCTCAACCAATTATTAAATCTTTCTGAGTCTTAGTTTTTTCGTCTGTGAAAATGGGTACAAAAATTCCTGTGGTTTCTATTTCAGTGTGGTATAGTAGAGAACTGGCCTCAAAGACAGGATTCATGTCTTGCCTCTGACCCATAGTTGTATGACCCTGAGCAAGTCACTTAATTTCTCAGTGGTTTGGGCAACAATGAATCTCTAAGTTGTACAGGAGGCGCCAGCCTACACTCTTAGAGGGAGTTCCTCATTTGGGAGTTCTTGATACAAGTGAAATCCAGTCTGATTCCCTATCTATGGATCTCTCACCTGGCTGTGGTGAGGACCAAAGGACCCTCTGCAAATCTGAAAGTGTTGTAGAAATGACGACTCTTATTGGTTCATTCAAGTTGATGGGGATTGGAACTATGACTTTTGGGGTACTCTTGGTGAAGCCTTGGGGGGGACTGGCAAGAATGTGGGGCCAAATCTATCAACAGTAGAATAGAATAGGGAGGGGGGTCCATATTTTACACTTGGGTTCCCAAAATAAATATCTGAAGTGCAAGAGAGCTGAAGGGGACCTTGAAACCATTTAACCTTCACTGTACAGATGAGGAAACTGAGGCTGGAGATGTGAAGCAGCTTCCCCAAAGGTACACCAGTAGATAGTGGTCAAGGTATTTTTTGCTTTAAAATCTGGTCCTCTTTTCCACACTTGCAAGCTACAATTGGGTGGTACAGGTGGCACAGTGGATGGAGAGCTTGTCCTGGAGTCCAAAAGCCCTGAGTTCAAATCCTGGCTCAGACACTTATCAGCTGTGTGACCCTGGGTCAAGTTACTTAACTTCTGCCTGACTCATTTTACTCAACTGTAAAATGGGGGTAATAATAGCAATTACTTCCCAGGGTTGTGAGCATCAAATGAGATAATTGTAAAATACTTTGTAAACTTTAAAGTGCTACATTAATGCTATTTATAATAATTATAATTATTACACTGTTATTGGCATGGCTAGACAAGTTTGTATGAAAAAGACCTGGAGGTTTTTTGAGGATTATGAACAGTGTGACATGGTAGCCAAAAACAAAGCTACTGAGATCTTAGCCTCCATTAAAGAGGCGATATGGAACAAGGGAAAGAGCCGTGGTTCTGGAGTCAGAAGAACTGGGTTCAGATCTCACCTTGGATGCGTATTACCTGTGTTACTTTGGCAAGGCACTTAACATCCCCATGGGTCTGGGTTCATCTGTAAAAAATGTGTGTGTGTGTGTGTGTGTGCGCGCGCACGCACATATGTGTGTGTATGTGCGTGTGCACGTGTGTGTGTGTGTGTGTGTGTGTGTGTGTGTGTAGGGTGAAATGGGAGGTGGACTAGAGGGATTTGGGGGTCCTTTCCAACTTTGTATCTGTGGATAAGGTCTGGAAGGAAGGTCAAGATCACCCTGTTGCTCTTTGCCCTGGTTGGACCAAAGCTAGAATACCATGTTTTTAATTCTGGATGTTCTGTTTTAGAAAGTGGAGGCAGCTAGGTGTGTCAGTGGCCAGAGTGCTGGGCCTGGAGTCAGGCAGACCTGAGTTCAAATCTGGATTCAGACACTTACTAGCTGTGTGACCTTGGGCAAGTCACCTCACCCTGTTTGCCTCAGTTTCCTTATTTGTAAAATGAGCTGGAGAAGGAAATGGCAAACCACTCCAGTAGCTTTGCCAACAGAAAACCCGTGGACCGTTTTGGTGGGCTGTGATCCACGTGATCATAAAGAGTCAGAAACAACTGAATAGCAACAATTGTAGTAAGGGTGATGACAAGTTGGAGTGCTTCTAGGGAAGGGCCACTAATTGATGCCACGTGAGGTTTGGCAGAAGGAACTGGACATGCTCATTTATTCCAGAGAAGAGATGCTTCTCCTCTGGGTGGGACATATGTAGGCTGACTTCAGTTATCTGAAGAGCTGTCATAGAGAAAAGGTTTTAGACTTGTTCTGATTTATCTTCAGTTGTTGTGCATATTTCAGTCATATTCAACTCTTCATGGTCCTTTTTGGGGTTTTCTTGGCAGAGATACTGGAGTGGTTTGCATTTCCCTCTCTAGCTGATTTTACAGATGAGGAAACTGAGGCAAACAGGGTGAAGTGACTTGCCCAGGGTTACACAGCTAGTAAGTGTTGGAGGCTGGATTTGACTCATGAAGTTGAGTCTTCCTGACTCCAGGGTCAGTGCTCTACCTACAGCGCCCCCTTTTGTACTCAGACCGGAGGGTAAAAATTGCAAAGCAGTAGACTTAGGCTTGGGCCTTCCCTCTGAATTACCTTCCGTCTCATCTGATATATATCTCACATATATCCTGTAATTTACATGTCATCTCCTCCATTAGAATGTGAGCTCCTTGAGGGCAGGCACTGAGCTTTTTCTGTTCTTTGTATCCCCAGAGCTTAGCACAGCTCCTGGCATATAATAAGCACTCAGTAAGTATTTGTTGACTGACAACATAAGGGTGGGTTTCCCCAATCCTCTACTGGAGAGCTTTAGGCAAAGATGGTGTACACAGTAGGTTATCCATTGATGGATGGCTTGTCAGGGATGTCACAGAGTGGATTCTTGTTCAGCGATGGGGTAGGGAGGAAGTGTAGTACAGTACAAAGAACACTGACTCTGGAGTCAAAAGGAACCAAGTCCAAACCCCACATCTGATGCTTATTACCTGTGTGATTTTGGGCAAGTCACTCATAGGTGCCATGAGACTCAGTTTCCTTTTCTGTAAAGTGAAGGGGTTGAACTAGATAGCATCTGAGGTCCTTTCTAGTTCCAGATCTACGTTCCTATGATCATTGGGAGAATTGCTTAACCTCACTGGGACTCAGTTTCCTTTTCTGCAAAATGAAAAGGTTGGATTAGATGGCCTTTGAGGTCTTTTTCCTGATGAGATTCTGCTGAGATCCTTTCTTATCTGTGATACTCTTGAGGAGCAGATCCTGAAACATTTTATCAATTCTCATCATTTGGTGGTATTACCCAAAGACTCGCAAGCTAGGGACCCTAGTAGGTGCTCATTGGGGGTAATTTATCAAACTTCCTCCACACAGAGGTATAGATGGAGGCACACCTAACAGGATCATTGGAGGAATGGCTTTGTGGAGGAGGAGACAGAATAAAGCTTAATGGCCAGCAAAATGTCTCCAGGTGGTCTGTGTGGGGAGGCATCAGTGAAGAGGCTGATGGGAAAAAAAGTTTCGGATTTGCATTAGGCATTCTGCTGTTCATTGTGCTGTGGTGTTTTCTAATTCAACATTGAAATGAAGGCTTCACTCACCATGTAATTAAGCCTTGAAAAGCAGGAAATCATTTCCCCAAACACGTCTTTACCAGCAATTTGGAAAATATTGAAAATGACTTTTATCCTGGTACTTGTGATGTCTAGCATGCCTGGGTTGGGAGGTGGGGAGTGGGGGGGAAAAGCAGAGCTTGAGTAGGGGGTCTAGAGAGTGTGACAAATGACCTCTCCAGTAGGGAGGCATGGAGAAGATGGCAGAGGAAAATGTGGTTCATTATCTAATTCTAGGAATGAAAACTATCGAATAGTTGGTAATTTTCTATTTGGAATAAGCAAATGACTTTCCTCATACATATAATTTTTTTTTTAATTGCAAGGCAGGGATAAAGGTCAGGGAACTTCTCAGCTAAGAAACCCTCATTTAGCATCCATGCCTACTAATCTATGTTCTTCTCTCTTTGTGTGTGTGTGTGTGTGTGTGTGTGTGTGTGTGTGTGTGCATGCATGTGTGGCTGTGCTTAGGACACGGAAGTATTGAACACAGCTATTCTGACGGGGAAGGCGGTCTCAGTTCCGGTCAAAGTGGTTGCCGTTGGAGAGGATGGCTCTGTGGTCGATGTTTCTGATGAAGTGGAGTGTAAGTCCACAGATGAAGATGTCATTAAGGTATGATGGGTGGTGGGAGAGATCCCTTTGGCTCTTCTTAGCATCAGCGTGCTTTGACAGCCTTCTCTTCTCGGTTCTGTATGGCATATTCCAAACTGGCGTACTAAATGGAAAGAGGCAGTGTGGGCTGCAGTGTCTAGACAGCAAGCCGTGAAGTCAAGGTCCGAGGAACACAAGTCTAGAGCTCAGAGTAGACCTTTTAGGCCATCATGGCCCACTGCCTCATTTTGTAGGTGAGGTAATGAGTTCACATATGTCCTCTGTTATCTATGACCTATGTGACATTGGGCCAGTCACTTAATATTTCTCATCTTCAGTTTCTGCCTCTGTAAATTGGAGGAATGGGTTATATTAGCCTCTAAGGCTCCTTCCAGTCTGTATCTATGATCCCATGTGCTTGGACAGGTCATTATTTCCCTGGGTCTCCATTTCCTTTCCATTTCTTTGTATTTGTGTCTCTACTGCTCAATCCAGTGCCTGGCAGTAATTAGCACTTAATGAATCCTTCCCTTCCCTTCCCTTCCCTTCCCTTCCCTTCCCTTCCCTTCCCTTCCCTTCCCTTCCCTTCCCTTCCCTTCCCTTCCCTTCCCTTCCCTTCCCTTCCCTTCCCTTCCCTTCCCTTCCCTTCCCTTCCCTTCCCTCCCTATCTTCCCAAACAGTTCATTTTCTGGGATGCGTACCCAAGGATAGCATCACCAAAACTCCTCTTTCCATGCATTATTTTAAGTCGTAATTAAACAGGTAAATGAGAAACAAGCAAGGGCGTATAGCAGAGATTTAAATGTTGTATACTGACATTTCCCCCATTTTAATGCTGGTGGCAGGACTGCAGGACTTCTGTTGTACATAATGATGTCTAGGAACATGGTTTTGACCTGCCATAAATCCAAATCCATGTAGTTAATTACAAGGGCTGTGTTATGGAACTAAATTTCCCAGGTTTCTTAATTTGACAAATAGCCTTTTTGCAAGTATAAGTCGATAAAAATATGCGAGCCTGTAATATACTGATGATCATACAAATTATCACAGGGCCACAGTGAATGGAGGGTGAGCCTTGGAGTGAAGAAGACCTGGCTTCACATCCTGCCTCTGACAATAACCTTGAGGAACCAGTGTAGACCCAAAGGGCTTGGGGGTATGGAGCTGCTCCTCATTCTCTATCTAGACATGTGGTTGGTTTGGGTTCAGCCTTGAGGGATCCCGCTTCTAATTAAAGGGACTGACCTCCCCTTTCTCATCCTTACTAGTTTGTTATGTACCCCACTTTTGGGGAAATTGCTCAGGGCTTAGGTTATGGAGCGTGTCAAAGTCTCTCCAAGGTAGAGAGTAAGCAGTATCCAATGTACTACATGAACCAGGTATGGGATAGGTAATTTATGGCTTCACACAAAAGGAATACTAAACACCAGACTCTTCTTTTCTTTTTCTTTCTTTCTTCCTTTCTTTCTTTCTTCCTTTCTTCCTTTCTTCCTTTCTTTCTTTCTTTCTTTCTTTCTTTCTTTCTTTCTTTCTTTCTTTCTTTCTTTCTTTCTTTCTTTCTTTTCTTCTTCTCCTTCCTTCCTTCCTTCCTTCCTTCTTCCTTCCTTCCTTCCTTCCTTCCTTCCTTCCTTTCTTTCTTCTTCTTTCTTTCTTTCTTTCTTTCTTTCTTTCTTTCTTTCTTTCTTTCTCTATCCATTCATTCATTCATTTATTTACTTATTTATTTATTCATTCATTCATTCATTATTTATTTATTTACTCATTCATTCATTCATTTATTCATTTATCTATCTATCTATCTATCTATCTATCTATCTATCTATCTATCTAGCCAGGCAATGGGATGAAGTGACTTGCCCAGGGTCACATAGCTAGTGTCAGTGTCTGAGGCAGATTGGAACTCGGGTCTTTATAAATCCAGTGCCAGTGCTGTATCCACTGTGCCATCTAGCTGCCCCACAAATGCTCCCTTTAACCAAAGCAAATTTAACAAAGAATTCAGTACCTTAACTTGGGTCTACTGATAGACATTTCTGGGAGGGAATATCTAAACTTCCTGACTATATAAAGCAGCTTGTGATATTGCTAATTAGGCATTTCACATTTCCCCTCAGCTTGTCACGGGTTTACAGCTCTGCTGGCCAAATGGCCAGGCTCAGTCCAGTCCCCCTGCTGGTGTCTGTTCTCAGATATGAAAGCTACTGGCCAGCTCCAACTCAGTAGGACTCAAGGCCTCAAAGCCTCTTGAATTCCCAGCATTGCTTCCAAACCTGGACACCTCCATCTTGGGGGTACCCACTGCCCTGAGCTCAGGGGAGAACCATCAAAGTAAGAAGAGGCAGTCAGGAAACAGGAACAAGCTTGCTTAGGCAGGACATGTGGTCATGGCCCCATGGAGGCCAGGCAAGAGATTTACCCTGTTCCTTTTTTCATTCTACTATATGCCAGGCACCATGCCAAGTGTTCTTCCTCACAACAACCTATAATAGGTAGGTGCTATTGTTATCCCCATTTTAAAGATGAAGAAACTGAGGCAAACAGAGGTTAAGTGACTTGTCCAAAATCATACAGCTTGTAAGTGTCCGAGACTGGATTTTAGTTCAGGTCTTCCTAACTCCAGGCCCAGTGCTGTATCCACTGTGCCACTATATTCTTATTATTTTTATCATTGTTAATATGTATTATCACAGAGGAAGGCATTGGCTGAGTCCATGCCTCTCTTATATGTCCTACTGCTGGTCCTGTACAACTCCTGTTTTACTCCCTTCTAGTTGAAACTTGTTTTCAGGAAGATGTTATTATAGTCATTTACACTTTAGTATGTTTAAGGGACTTTCCCAGTGCCTAGGAATTCACGCCCACATGCTGGTTGCTTAGAATCTTAGCATCCCTGAACTTTTGAGCCAGAAGATACCTTAGCACGCTCAACACAGATACTAGCTGCATGACCTTGGGCAAGTTAATTAACCTCTCTATGTCTCAGTTTCCTCATATGTAAAATGAGATTTGATGGTGGCCTCTAAGGTCACTTTTACCTCTGGTGCCTTCTCTCTGAGACTATCCCCAACTTATCCAGTATATGTGTTGTTTGCATATAATTGTTTGAATGTCATCTGTCCTAGTAGACTGTGAGCTCTTTGGGAGAAAGTACAAGTTCCCTTCTTCCCTCGACCTCTTTTTTTTTTTGGTATCCCCAGTACTTAAAACAGTGCCTGGCAGGAGTCAGAACTTAATAGATGCTAGTTGATCAACTAACTGGCCTGGGTTCAAATTCTGGCTCTGGCACTTACTACCTGCATACCTTGAGCAAGACTGTCTGGGTCCCAGTCTCCTTCATCTGTACAACTAGGGGGTTGGATTAGATGGACCATATAGTCCCATCTAGCTCTAGATGTGCTCCTAAAATCCAGATTCCAAGGCTATCTCACTATCTACTCTACCATGCTGGTCTTAGTCTACAATAGGAGGTCTAATGTCCTGCTTGGGACTCAGGAGAGATGGCACACAAGTGACCATGAGAGCCAAACCTCTTGTCCCTTCATCTTGATATCTCAGTAAAACCTTGTACTTGAGAGTCGGGAAAACCTCTGTTCAAATCCTGCCACTGAGATTTACTAGCTATGTGACCCAGGCAATTAATTTAAGCCTCAACTTCCTCATCTATAATCAGGATTAATAGTACCTATTTGAACTATAATGTTGTCTGTCCCTTGTTCAGTTGTTTCAGTCATGTCCAATTCTTCATAACCCCATTTGCAGTTTTCTTGGCAGAGATTCTGGACTGGTCTGCCATTTCCTTCTGCAGCTCATTTTATAGATGAAGAAACTGAGGCAAACAGGGTGAAGTGACTTGTCCAGGGTCACACAACAAGTAAGTGTCTGAGGCTGGATTTGAACTCATGAAGGTGAGTCTTCCTGGCCCAGTGCTCTATGTGCTATGGCACTTTCTAGGGCCACTCAAAACATGCTTGGGATAAGCGCCATAAAATACACCCTAAAATCAATTTTTTAAATCAATTGGGAAGGATTGCTCTAGAAAGTAGGCCCTCTAATAGCTTTCTAATTGCAACTATTTTCTTTTTCTGACTAGATGCCAAGTTCTGTTGTTTCTGTGTTGCTTGAAGGACTATAAGAACTTTTAGCACCCTTTAAATCTTGTGTCTGGGTGCAAAGCTCCGATTGCCTCACCTTAGTTACTGCTCCATACCTGTAGCATCGACTGCACAGTGTTGCTGTGAGGTCCAGATGATATAATTTTTGTAAAACTTTTTTTAAACCTTAAAACACAATGTAAATGTCAGCTTTTATTATCATCATCATTATTTCTCCTGAATAAGCCTCCTCTAACCCGCCATTTTGTGTAATGTTAACTCACTCTAAGCACTTACCTGAGGGTACCTCTCTGGCTCCCCTGCATTGATGGTTGGGTTTCTCAGCCCATCCAAGTCCAGCAGGTGGCTCTTACATGTTCTTGGCAGGTTGCTGTTTGAACCAACAGAGTGAATGTCTCTGCATGTGCCTGTTTTTTCTTCAGCTCATCTGTTGGCTTGATCTTTTGTAGTGGAGACCCCAGAGAGTCGGGGTGGGGGCATCTGTGTCTTCAGAACCATTTCCCCTCCTTTAAGGGGTCCAGAGAACTCTTAGATCTCTTAACTATTACTCATTTTGAAAAATAAGTGCTGAGTTCTCACCATCCTGAGACTATTCCTGCTCCTCTAGAAAGAACTGGCATAAAATACCATTCGGAGCCTCCAGGTAGGTTAGGAAGCCCTTTAGGATTTTTGTTGTTGTTGATGTTCCAAAGAGAGGAAAGGTCTGGGAGGAGCTGGACATCTCTTGTTTCTTTCTACTCTGCAAGACTTGGTGGGAGATGGCCTGAAGTAGGTCGTTGCTAAAACCCAGACCCCTTTTGATTGAAGCAAGAGTTTTTCCACCAGAAAGTATTCATGTGAGCCCTAATCAGAAACAGTCCTTGGGGAAAACCTAGCTTTGGCACGGCAGGCTTTCTAAGTTTGGAA